AAAAAAAAAAAAAATATCCACGATTTTGTTTTTGTATTTCGGATGAAATTTTTTACCGTTTTTGTAGGGAAAAATGTCATTGTATGAAAGAGTTTATTGAAATCAATAAATTATGTATGTACCTAAATATTTTTGTRAAGGTGTCGTATTGATTTCAGACTGTTAATTTGCTGTTAATTTCGGAAATGATACTGCGACGAAGTATCGGTGGGTTATGTGCCACGTTACGTCGTTTCGTTTGATGTCGAAAAATGTTATGATGTWTTTTTTGGAAGATTCGAAAATAGTACAAAGTCGTTTGTGTTGTAAATGTTTGCTTTTAARATACTTTAGGCTAATTTAGAAGGAAATTATAAGTAAATTCACAAACTGAACATTATTATGTACGCGGTTCGGAACTTAGCTTAGCATAGACTCAAATAATTTGAACTCAAATCGCCAGTTTAGGAGCAACGTTTCAATGATTAGTTGCTAAACAATATTTCATTGCACCGCTTAAAAAGWTAATCTCTAAAGACCGTTTGAGGGGAGGAAGCAAATTATTTCTGTAGTTCCGGCAAGCTTATTTTGTGATAATATCCCAGTTTTTAATTGCAATAATAATGATTATTAATTTACAATGTTTTGTAATAGCTGTTTAGAGGAAATCCGTTGATATTTAATTTTAGTAGAAATATTACAAAAATTTTCAGATAAATATTCAATTTCCGTTACAACCAAAAATATGTGCATATATATTTGTTTGCCATTTTCATCGCTGTCAAGTATGTATGTATATCTATAKACTTATATAGGTTTGCTGGAATATCCTGCATTAAGGTGTGGCCCAACAGTTTTTTTGACGGTCATACCCTTCAACCCATAAGTATCTACATTTTCCGATGGCAAAATTTTGCAAWTTTTTTTTTTTAAATTGTGAATTCACAAACAGAACTTTCTTCTGAACGCGGGTTCGGAACTTAGCTTAGCATAGACTCAATTAATTTGTTGAGCCGCCCTAGTCGATCNCAACCACCAGCACCAAAGCCAACAACTCGTCCACCACCACCACCAGTCACTCGTCCACCAGCACCGAAGACTACCCGTCCACCACCCCCACCTGTGACTCGTCCACCACCACCAAAGCCTCAGCCAACACCCAAGGATGACGGCTACAAATACCCCGTGCCAAGCATTCCTTTCGATTTTTAGGTGTCAACTGTAACAGTTGATTTACTCAATGTTATGTTAAGAAAGATAGCCTGCGAGTTTTAAAAGTTTATTTAAAAGTGGTGAAGCTCATTAACGCCGAAAGCTGACAATCTAGCGATGTGGTACCAACAAGCAAACTAGGGCTAGATTCATCTAGTCAATACAATATGAGAACGTTATTTTTGCTTTCGACTCCAAAAGAGCTCTAGCAAGAATTTCAAATGTTTTTCCTTTTTGTTTTATACTTAAAAATACTCTTACAATTAGAAATACTTATTTTAATTGAAAAAAAAAAAAAATTAATAAAAAAAAAAAAAAAAAAAAAAAAAAAAAAAAAAAAAAAAAAAAAAAAAAAAAAAAAAAAAAAAAAAAAAAATTAAATTAAATAAAAAAATAAATTAAAATAAAATAAAAATAAATGGAAAATAAATGAGAATTAAAAATATTAATTTCTAAAAAAAATTAGGGTAAATTAGAAGAAATGTAATTTCAACACACTTAATTTTTTAATTTTAATTTCTTTATTTACAGAGGAGCGCTTTTATTATTTTGGCGCTTTGCGTCGCCGGACTTTGTGCTGATGCTGGCACAGATACACTTTTGGTACGTACTATTAATTTACAACCACACAAATGTTACCACACGTCATCAACAAATATCCACATCGAAAATTCGTTTGAACTGAAATTGAAAATTACTTTTTTCAGAGAAAGGCACGTGCCGCTGAGGGTTATGATTACCCACCACCCTCTATTCCATTCCCCGAGCCAACGAGGCCACCACCAGTGGTGACGCGTCCACCAGCACCGAAGAC